AGGAGTTATTTTAGGGATGGATTATAATTTGGCTCCAGAGGAGGGTATAAGATGATGAATTGTAACTGGAAAACAACCATAATGTGGAGGGTGTCTGTGGCTAGGCAGAAGATCTGCATGTGTTCATGGCCTGTGAAGACACCATCAAAGGCTGAGAAGATGGGGCTTTAGTTCTGGCTCTGCTTTGTAACTGAATGGCCTTGGTCATGAAATTCTGTGGCTTTATTATACTCATACAATAGAGATGTGGTGCTTCGTGGAGCAGTTAAGATTAAAGGGAAAGCCTAGGTGATAGAAGTTTTGCTCCCAATGAAAAAAAAATCAGAAAAGTTGTTTTGAAGAGCAAAACTTTTGAGGGAGCTGGTCGGTGGAGGATCTGCGTACAGGAGTAGCTGCAGGAGTCCAGGTAATTGAACACAGGTCTCAACTAGAGCAGTCCCCATAGGAATTGAAACAAGGGACTGAGTGGGCGAAGCATTGCGAATGTAGTATCTTCATTATGTTTTGAACAAGGGAAACAGTGGTATAGGAATAACAGTGGTTTCCTTCATGGGAAAATGTTTGGAGTTGTTGCTGCTTTTATGGATGTGGGGAATAAAAAATTGAGGTTTGAAATTAGGGTAAACACTGGACATCTTGGTGAAGAGTAATTGGAAAAGTGGGGCTGGAACTCAGACTGAGAGGCTGGAGAGAGATTTATGAGGTGAACTGGGACTGAGAGGAAAGATGACACTGGTGCATGTATAAGATGTGAGAGGAAGAAGAAGTGCCAGGGACAATAGTGGGTGAATATGGATGTCAAGTGAGAATAAATTTCAAAACAAGACTTAAATCAATTAAAAAAAATTCTTTTGGATACTAGGGTTTGAATTCAGGGCCTCACACTTGCTAGGTAGGTACTCAACCACTTGGCCACTCCACCAGGCCTTTTTTGTGTTGGTTACTTTCAAGATAGGTCTCAAGAACTATTTGCCTAGGTTGTCCTCGAACCATGATCCTCCTGTTCTCTGCCTCCTGAGTAGTTAGGATTATAAGAGTGAGCCCCTAGCACCTGACTAGGTCAATATTTTTAACTTCTGTAAAACTCAAGGATGATAACAGAGGCCACTGATTTTGGGGGATTTACTTGTCCCTGGAGACCTGTGACAAAGCAGCTTTAGTAAGAGTGGAATTGAGCAGGAACCAAGTTGAACGTTTTAGGAAGTAAATATGGGCTTGGCATGAAAGTTCATGTCTGTTAATCCCAGTTATGCTAGAGGCATAGGTGGGAGGACTGAGGTCCAAGGCTGGCCCAGGGCAAAATGTAACTAAGGGTATCCAAAAAGTAACTAAAAGCAAAATAGGGCCAGGGTGCGTTGCGGCTCACGAGGTAGCATCTGCCTAGCAAGCATGAGGCCCTAAGTTCAAATCCCAGTATCATTGAAATAAAAGGAAGTAGAGATGGTAAGTGAACTCCTTGAAAGGGAAGGGGCAGAGCGAGACAGAGGATGCTCAACAGAATCACATTGAGGGCTCCTCAACCCCGCACAACTGACAGTTTGAACCTGAGGGGTCTTTGCTGTAGGGAACCTCCTCTCCTTCTCCAATTCATAGCCACCACAGGTGTCTCCAAATATTGCCAAATGTCCCCTGGAGGCCTTGCGCCTTAGGTGAGAACTGTTGGTGTAAAAGGTTGGTAAGATTGCTGCTGCTTCCACCCCCTGCAGCAGTCCCTTTTACTGTCACGGCTGCTCTGTCTACTGCTGGTGGGGCAGCTTGATTCTGTAAATTGAGAAGCAGGTGAAAAACTAGGAACAGTTCAGAGGTGAGCACAAAAGCAGGGATCTGCGGAGGGTAGGAGAACTGCTGTCTAGAAGATGTGTCTTCAAGTAGTCCTGGACAGAGGCCTTTTTTGGGGGTTGGAGGTAAGTAGATATAGACTGTTTCAGTTCATATTAGATGGTCCCAGGCTTCTTTCTAAGTAAGGAGAGATTGGGTCATCTGAGAATGAAGTAGACAGGATTAAAGTTTAGCTGTTTGTAGAAATGATAGAAAGTAGAACCCCTGTAGGGACGAATTGATGCATGCATATGAGTAGAAGCATTACTAAGCAGCAGTCCAAACCGACACCTCTAAAAAACTGATGACAATTGAGTCAGCATCTTTACCCAGCCACTCTGACGCTGTGCTCATCTGTTCATTTTACTGTGTAGACTTGGCCTACACTTTTTACTTTTGATTTCACTGATCATTGTGGATTTCAATGCTACTGAACTGTCATGGCTGCACCATAATTTACCAGTTTTCTAGTTACTGATGGGTTGTTTTCAGTTTTTAATGCTATTGCACCTAAGGTTGTAGTAAACATTGTTACACACAGAGCTTACCAAATCTTATTAGTCGACCAAATACACACTGCTTAACTCAGAGCAAGGAAAGCATTTGCTTAAATGGTTACCTACTGCATTTCAAATTGCAGCCTTCATGCCTGTCTTACTTTCCTTCACAACGCTTGCTGTCTTCTAGGTGTTACTTATTTTTCTTGATTGCTGTTTTCTCCCTTTTTGAGTATATGATCTCTCAACAGCAGAATACTTTTGGCTCATATCACCAGTGCCTTGAATAATGTCTGGCACATAGATACTTGCTGATTGAATGATTGGTGAGATTTACCCAAAAGTGTTGGCAGGATGGGCCTAGAAGGATATTAGCAACATTCATCCATGGAAGCCAGTGGGAAAATAGTTGCAAAACAGGTCTTTAAAGGAACTAGGAAGCAACAAAAGCTCACAGGGACCGTGAATTTGGAGATTGAAGAGTTAGCACCTGGAGGGAATGTAGCAACAAAACCAGTCAGTCCTCTGGAAGAACACAGGAGAGGTCCACAGCACGCAGGTTGTGCTTAGGGAAGGGAGTTCCCCAAGGTCCGATAGTAGAAATAAAACCGTATTAGAATTAATGGTGGCGGCGTTGGTGAAAGACTGCTTTGCTAGAAATGAGCTGTGTCACTTTTTCATTGCCCCCTCCATGGCAAACAGTCTTCTCTAATATTTGGCTCGCACTGAATGGTGACATATAAGTCAGATTGTGTTTTCAGAGGTCTTTCTTTGTTGAAATACGGCTGTTGTAATCTGAGCAAGCAGATATGCCAATAATAATGTCTATTAGTCAATTAAGCAGAGTCAGTGATAGGGTCAAAGCCCACTTGAAAACTGAATTTACACAGAAGTTGTCTGCTTCTCATTGACTTCTTGCGTCATTCCGCTGAACTTTTAAGTGACTGTCTTCCAGGTGACTTTCTATTTAACATCATTTAACTCAGTAGAGCAGTTTAAATACACAAAACATTTATGATAGCATATGCTAATCCTATCTTAAGCAACTGTTGGGAAGCCACCTTTGAGTATAGAAATCACAGTGGTGTTCTTTTGGAGCAGTTTGAACTGTTTTCCACAATAGCCTGTTTTCAGCTTTAAAATTCTGTTTTTCTCAAGTGAGTTGTTAGAGCAGACAGGTACACTTAAGTTGAAAATGAACTCTGGAGAGACAGTTGAAATGCTCTTTATTTGTCAGTGGATAGCGTGTTTGTTACTTCTTGAGTTTCTTTCATTTCAAAACATGACAATGACCTCAAATGTAACCTTTCTCCTTCCTCCCAGAATGTCTAGGATACTTTACCAATGAACTGTTTGCTTAGGTAGCCTATAATACATATGATATGAGTGGCTCAAAGATGTTAATATAAGGAAGGGGAAAGTACAGCAAGTTCTGTATAAGGAGGAAAGGGCTGATGGAAAGCATACTTTATTATAGCCAATTTTTGAGTTAGTAGGCATCTAGTCAGAATGGTGTTCTGACTAGGGTTGTTTTCAGTATGTTTAAAGTTTTCAGAGGAAACATTTTTCTGATAAATGTAGGAAGCATAAGGTAAATAAGGGAATGCTTACTCCACATTATTTTAAAATGAATGAGAACAGTAGTAGTAAGAGGCAGTGTCAATGTGTAACATCTCTATGTTAACTACTGTAAACACAGTTTTTCATGTCCACTTTCTCTAATTCTCCAATGAGTGCTTGGATTGTCGTATTCCTGTGTGCAGATTATGAAATTTAGGCCCAGAGAAATTAAGGAACTTTTATAACCTCCTATACCTAGGAAATGCAGTACCTGAATTTGAATCCAGAAATCTCCAACTCTTTGCATGATATCCTATATCAAACTAACAAGAAAAGGACACTAACACCAAGGGTAGAGCTTCAGAAATTTATATTTCTGTTGAATACAGAAAGGCTGCTTACCACTTAAAATGTGTGCTACAGTATAGTAACTGAGAATATGAGATTGTGTGATGTACCTTTGTGTAAGCGCTTCATCCCTGTTTATCTTATGCCATGAAATTCCTTCTTAGGAGAAGAATATAGCACCAGACGTATTGTAAGCAGGCATTATGGGCATGGGTGTACCTTGTAGGAGCAAAGGTAGAATTGGAGGTGCCATGACCTTTATAGTATAACATGGCAGTAGTTTTTCCTAGTGTAGTTGACTTTAGGAAGTTTATGGGTGTTTCCTCCACCTGTTGTGTTACATGGGTTGGAATGACTGGTTCTTCCCTTGAAAATTGACTTTAGTTATCATATGGTATAACCTGTTTAAGAGCAACTCTTAATAAGCCTTGTTACTGTTGAAAAACAGGCTAAAACCATCTTCCTTACCACTCATTCATTATTTGGTTGTTAACATAATTATTTTGAGATCCCTGACTTCTCTTTGTCTTGATCAAAAGAATACCTTATGTAATATTACTATAGTTTTCACTTAATCCGTTTGTGGTCTCTTGTGAAGAATGTGGAGAAATCTGTTATATGCTTGGCGGCATGTGTATCATACACCCCACCCTGCACCAGCACATCTTTACCACAGGCCTCAAACAGCAATCAGGTTAGAGATGTGACATTATACCAAGAAGGTTAAACCTGTGCCTGGCAGGTAGAATTTATTAACAAGGAATTACTTGCTTTCAGGGAGAATGCTGGAGAGCCAGACTCCTGGAGCAGTTTATCCTATGAAATCCCATATGGAGACTACTCTGTGAGGCACCATCGAGAGCTGGATGTCTATACGTTGACCTCTGAGTCTGAATCACATCATAAGCCCTCATTTCCTGGAGATAGTTGCACTGGACATATTTTTAAGCTTATGAATATCCAACAGCAACTGATGGTAAGTTAAAGCTTTCATTTTCAGGTGTGCGTGTGTGTTGTGTGCACTCCTGCTCCCACCACCCCCAGCGAACCTTCCTATATTTCCAGCATAACAATGCTTTCGCCAAAGATTGTGAAACCTGTAAAGCAATATTAACAGTATTAGATGTTACCGCTTGTGATATGAGATAGCATTGGGGGTGATTTAAATTGATTTTTGCTAGATTTCTGAAATAATGAAAGATACTCATACACACACAGAAATATGCAACAACCACAGCTAAATTTTTCTGACATAAAAAGAAATTTGTATATGTTTGGTTTAGTTTTTTAGAACAAAATGAAAAAAAAAAGTTACTTGAGATTACTGCTAAAGACTACGAACCAAATTTACTCAATAAAGCCTTTTCACAGTTATTTAGTGAGTGATATAATGCTATTATATTTAAATTGATAGTTATGTTTTAAAAGATCACTAAAAAAATTAAGACTTTATAATCCACTCAAGCCTTGAAGATAAAGTTGTTGTCAGACATAAAAACATTACAGACTCCCTGGTAACATTTATTATGGATAATATAGACGTCATATGTATGTATCTTTCTTGGCCATAGCATCTGAAAGGCTAAGTTTAGATAATTTTCCCACCCAGTTTATTTTAGAGCTGATTTGATTTGGAAACAGCTCGATAATTTCACTTAAGGTCATCTGGGATCAGTTCAATGTCAGAGCCTTCTTTGGGAGCAGGCATTGCTTCTGAGACTTGTAGACCAAGAGACTCTATAGCAGGGTTGTACAATGTGCCTACCTCTGCCTTTCAGAGTCATGTTCTTTTCAAAGCAGTCATTGTATTTCCCTTTGAGTAGACTGTGGGGAGATCAGATTTTCCTTAGGATTCCTCCTACTAAGCAAATGAGAGTCCACTTGAAAATACCAGTTTTCAGATGTCAGTTACCTGGAGGAATGTTTGACGGGAAAAGGGGGGGCGGATTTAAAATGTGGGAGGATTCATCATGTGATAGGCGTTTCTAAAATTCTTTGGGCAGCATCACTTGTTTGTCCAGGTCTCTCTTCATTAAATGCAATGACCTACTGTCATAATTTTTAGGAGTCCCATCACACATTTTAGCAGAAACGGAAACAAGCCAATTTTTGAATACTCTTAAGGAACAGTGCACCCAAGTTTTTCATGAAAATTCATTTTTCTTATACTCTGTAGTGACAGTACAAGTTTAGTGAGATACATAGATAAGGAACAGTTTGTTGTAGTACTCAGTATATTTACTTAGTGAATGGATGAATGAGAGAATGGATGACAGCAGATGTGCATGAGATTATTGTAACAGGTAAATGAGAACAAACCAGGTATTTAAAATTTTTATGGACTAAGAATATTATCAAGATTGCAGAAATCTTTATAAAGTATAAAATAAAGATCTACCTGTATTTGTTTTTCTACATTTTTCCTGAGCCTTGACTGGACATACATGGAATTTTGGATACCTATAACCTTTGATAACTATAAGCTTTATTTTTTTCAACACTGTGTTATACTTTTTTTCTGGTTGTGCTATAGTCTTTATAGTTAACATTTATATAACAGCATATAGTATTCCTTCTATCAGGTTGAACTGTGGTTATCTTAACTATTCCCTTCTTGGCTATATTTGTTTACTTTAAGGGGGCAAAAACTGTTTTTGAGATTACTTAGAATATCCTCAAACTGCAGTACCCTCTGACAATAGTTAAAAGCTAGGTGTTATTAGTGCTATATGTTCTCATTTAATATTTAGTATTGGACAAGAAAAGAACTGGTTTTATCAAAAAGTCAAATACCTACCATGCCATTGTTATGAAATTATAAACCCATAACTAAAATAGTTGAGCTGGGTTGGTTGAGTATATTTGGGGAATTAGATGACAGACAGTGTATAACTCCTCAGTGAGTATTTATGGCACAGAAACATCTGGCTGAATATTGTGATTTTTTTTTTTTCCTGAAAAGAGTTTTTGAAACTGGTCACAATTTGTTTTTATTTAAATATATGATATGGATGGAAGAAGTGCTCTCCCTCTAAAGTTCCTGAAAACAATTTCCTTAGTTGCTCGTTTGAAGATTTTCACATTGCTTTTTAAAAACAAAATTTTTGAGGCTTAACTTTAATTGACTTTCTAAAACAAGTTCAGAATATAGAAAATATTCACTGTGTGTATTCTAAGCCATTTTAAACATTCCAGTGGATATGCAGAGTTGAGGGAGGAAAGTGGTATCAGAAATAATAGAAACTTAATTTGTTTCCTTAGATTAGCATATCATGTATGACCTTAGAGGGGTCGAAATGGCAGGGAGTTTTGTCAGACAGCATTTTGCTTATAGGTGTCAGTGACATCTTTTCTCATGGAGAGTTACTTTAAATGTATCTTTGATTTCCTCCTAGAAAACAAACATCAAGCAGATGGACAGTCTCGCACCCTTAATGGTAACAGTACAGGATCCTTTTAGTCTGCCCAGTGCCCCAGAAACAGAAGGCCAGTTCATTCCCTGTGCATCAGAGCCCTTGGACAGCCAGCAGCTTTCTTTTCCTTCTGAAGAGACTCAGAGTACTCTGTGTTGCCAAGGTAGCCGTGTTGGGCAGGTTGAAAGTTCCCGTGATTTGTTAAGTGTGGTTGAGGAAGAGCATACAGACTGTTGTCATAGGACAAAAACTAAAGGCATGGAGAGAAAAGAGAAAGAGGTGGAGCCAGCACCTGTTGTGGACTCTGGAACTGTGTCTGATCAAGACAGCTGCCTTCAGAGCAAGCCTGACTGTGGAGGAAAGGGCACAGGAGGCCTTCTGTCCTCTGGAAACAGAAATGAAGAAACTGGAACAAAATCTTCTGGAATGGCCACAGAGCAGGAGTCTGTGACCAGTGGAGCTAGTGTGCTACAGGGAGATATGGTGACAAAACCAGATACATCCCAGCACTCCTTTGGAGGGGAACTGGCAGGGAGTTCAACAACACATGCCAGTGCCTCAGAGCGTGCAAGGGAATCAGAACATAGTCTCATGAACTCAGCTGCCACCACTCAGAACAATATGCTTCAAGTAGGGGAAAGCATAAAGGAAAGATTTGAGAACTCTAAATTTGACACAGTTGTAGCCTCTGGTATACAAGTCATAAGTGAGCCTGTGGATAAAGCCAATGTTCCAAACTGTTTTTCTGCTACCAGGGCCCTAGGCACTAAACCTCCTGAGTCTTCGTTTACATTGAGTCCTGGAGAAACCCTTACTGAAAAAACATCGGGGGTGGAAACTCCAAGGAGAAATTGTGAAGAGAGAGCTGATACTGTAGGTCATCAAAACTCTCTAGTGATTCCAGCTGCAGAAGACAGAATTTCATTTGGATCAGAACCTGACACTCCTCTAGCAAGCCTGTGTGAGGCAAGGTCACCTTCAGATTTAACTTTTTCTGACCTAAAAAGAGATGTGATGCCAAACCAGAAATCAGAAACAAATTCATCTAGTGTTCAAAGAAAATTACCAGTTTGTTCTACAATTGGGGATGAGAAACCTTGTGCTGAGTTTGCATGTCAGCAGAACACAGTGACTTCTAGTGGTAACTTGGTTGCAAAGCATGGCACTGATGTAGCTAGCCAGGGTGAAAGCACATCAGGGCACCTCAACAGGCAAGATCCTTGCATTGCAGTCTGCTCCAAAGACCCGCAGGTTGACGCAGTCACTTCTGACCCTGTAAGAGATGCCCAGCAATATGTGGACGTTTGTCCTCTTGAAGTTCTGGATAAAAATGTCCAGGGAAAAGATTTGAAACTAGATACACTTTTAATAAATACGCTTGAGGTGGTTTCACATCTGCCTCCTGTTGTCCCTCAAACTGAGAAAGAACTGGTGCCAGACCGGGCAGTGCCATCAGACAGCACTTTCTCTCGGGCAAACAGTCCAGGCAGTGAATCAGTAACCAAAGATGACGTACTTTCCCTTGTCCCCTCCCAGAAAGAAAAGGGAACAGCAAGTCCTGAGCTACATAGAGCTAAAGCTTGTAGAGATGGCTCGGTCAGCAGAGATTCAAATGATCCTATTGAGCAGCCTCTAGAAGACAGGGCAGTGGGTCTGTCCGCATCCTCTGCCGTTGTAGAGCTTCCGCCCAGCATGGGAAATACCAGTCCCACAGGCCTCAGTGGGGAGCATGAGAGTCCTGGCCACTCAGCAGCTGCTGATGTTACAACTGACTCTTCTCTGCTGTACATGGATAAGGCCACATTGGCCTCTGATTCAATTTTGACTGAAGAAGGAAACAATCTGGTGGGTTCCAAAAGCTCTGCAGCTCAGGGACAAGATGACAAGGACAAAGTAGGGACCTGTTCCTCCATAAAGGAAGACACATTTTCTTCTGGAACGGCGTGCAAAGAGCAGGGAATACCACCTCCCGGACAAGAGACACCAGGATTCTGTGAAAAACCTCTGCCAGCTGCCTGCGATGAGGACAAAGAACTGCAGCACAGCAGTTCACAGGGCACACCCTCTGCCGGTCTTAATACAGAAACTAGACATAACAAGGGAGAGGCCCAGCAGGCCTCCCTGCTGACTGAAGGTGGGGCTGCACTGAGCCTAGTGCCTCCAGGAGCAAGTCTGCCTGCAGACTCGAGGCAGGAAGCCCTGGGTGCAGAGCACAACAGCTCATCTCCGTTGCCAGGCCTTCGGCCAAATGAGTCTAAGGCTCTTAATTGCAATCAGCCTTTTGCTCTGGATCTCAAATTGAAGAACATTCAGCTCTGGGAGGGAAGCAGCGCCTGTGAGGTGAGCAGAAATGTGCCGGTGGATGTTGCTGTAGTTAACACTCTGCAGGGTAACACTGGGCCCAGGAGAAAGGATATATCACACAGCACTGCAGACGTCCTAATTTCAGAAGCTTCACTGAGCCAGGAGAAGAATATGACACTGAGTTTGCCAGGAGCTTTACCAGACAAAGGTGCAACTGTCCTGCAGGGAGTTGTGGCCCCAGAGGTGGTACTTCTTAATTGCAATACAGGGAAGCTGGAAGAAGCAGACCACAGTTGTACCATGGGTGACTCCAAGGAGGCCCAAATGGATGATGAAGCACCGCAGCCTCTTGCCAAAGAGTTCCCCACACCAAGAGTGCTTTCTGCTCTTGATGACGCGGCCCAAGCTGGCGTGAGACAAGGGTCACAGGCCTCAGCCCCAGGTGAGGACAGTAGTACTCCGTCTCTACCTTACCTGGTCTCAGCCCAAGCTGTGCATGTGCCTAAGGGAACAGACTCAATAGAGGAGGCTGCCAGTCGTATAGTAGAGGCTGTTATTGAACGAGTCAAAGCCTCGGGAGCACTGACTACTGAGGGAGAAATGAGGCATGTATTGTCATCCAGTCCTAGGCTGGGCCCTCAAATGGAACAGCAAGTGAATGCTTCTGCAGACGGAGTGAGTGCTCTCCCACCTGAGGACACCCTGCAAATGGATGGTACTCACGAAGGAACTACTCAGAACCTTGAGGGATGTTTTGTTGGAAAGGAGGAGACAGAGAAGATATTTTTGCCTGTCCAGGGACCAGAGCCAGCAATAGGTAAGCAAAGTAAAACACAAAACTGACAGTTAAGAAACATGTTCTTCAAGTGTCTATTATACCGGTAAACACACAGGTACATTTATTATTTTAAGACCTTGCTTTCTCACTGCTGTAAGTTGCCAAGTTAATAGTCACTACCGTCAGGAGGTGCACGGCATCTTATGTTGGCTGTATTTTATTTCCTGTTGTAGACTCACTGCTTGATTGTTCAATTGTGTAAATGCTCGGTCTGTCACACTGGAGCAATTGCAACTTCCAAACCTACAAAACAGTGCCTAGATCACAGATGCTTTAAAATGAAGAAGGAATTTAGTGGAATTCTCCTTCACGTGGTCTAGTTCTTTTCTTTAGAGTCATAGAACACAGTGCTGGAAAGGATGTGTTTTATTTATAAGCCTGAAACTCCCTTCCTTCCTATCATCCTAGTCTGTATTCTGAGCAAATGAGAGTCAGTGGTTTCTGGATGGCTCAACTTCCAAAATGGTGGTATTAGGTCATTGCCTGAGGAGCAGACTTCATTTCCATTGCCTGACAGTTTTGGACAGAGTGTGGGAATTCAGGACCCTGCACACTGCAGGGGATAGGATGCAGGATTTCCGCCCAAGCCTTGTTGCTGAGCTGCTGTCACTGGGCAGACCTGTGTCTGCTTATCTTGGTGAAGCAGCTGCACCAAGCAGATTGCTCACATGCAGCCTGTTCCATTTGTGGGTAACCATGTCCAGAAACAGCAGAGAGAAACCACTATAGCTCAGTGGAAACAAACTATCTGAATAAAACGCTTACGGGGGTTCAGACTGAAGCTGAAACTGGAGTCACACTCTGTTTCAGTCTTGCGCTCTAAAGTCTGCAAAGGTCACTTGGATGCACACTTTCATACCACCACCCCGCTAGCTGTAGACAGAGGACTTGTCTACATGTCTGCCCCTGCTCTTCTGTAGGTAAGAGGTAGCCTATTTTGTCTTTATTATTTGGTTGTTTTTTACTATTTTTAGTTTTTGGCAACTCTTTTTAGTACATGTAAGCAGTGTGGGGGTGGGGTGTGGAAACGAATAAACAGAACAAAAATAAAGAAGTTGCTTAGGAAGAAGAGCAATTTAAATACCGCAGTTATTTTCCCTGATGAAGGGCTTTTTAGCCCTTTTAAACACCTCCCCCACCCCAAGTTGAGGGATTTAAGGAACCTGCGGTAGAATTTTTGGTGACTTCAGGTTTTTAGATTTGTTTCTACTTTAGATTGTTAGTGATAAAAATTTGTTGGCTGCTGCTTCAGTATTTATATGAGAAGGTCTTTAATTTTTAAAATAAGGGACAACAAGTCTATTTTGGGGGCCCTGGCAGGTCGGCATTTCATAAGAATGGGAGTGGCTGTAAGTTGATGCCTAGCTGTGTTCTTTTCATTTGGTACTCTGTCCTTGGCTATATGAGTTGGAATTATTTCTCTTCTGCCTCCATGGACAGAATTTAACCTGAGCTATGTGGCATTTGGTGTCTGTAGTGCTCCACGAGAAAAGGCAAAAACAGAGAATTTCAGACTTTGATTACTTGTTCTGATACCAAAGGAGTTGTCATAGGTTTGGCGCTCACAGTTTCAAAATGCAGAGAAAAGTAGCCAGTAAAGAAGAAATCAGTGCTTGCTTCACAGAAATAGCCAGAGTTGGGGAAAGTCCCTAGTTACATTGCCTTAGAGAAAAAGCACCTGATTGTGATCTCAAAGGTAAAGGGTATTTTCTACGAAGGTTGCTTTACAGATTTAATTGTATTTTTTTTTTTTCATGAGTCAGAAGACATGGATTTAGCTGCTGATTTGGAAGAAGCCAGTTAGATGGGGATGTGGTCTTTCACCCATCAAAGCGTTGATCATAGTGCTTAAGAAGTTGGAGGTCCATGACTGAGTCTCAGTAATCACTGTTTACCATTGTGACTGGTTGTTTCTTGCCAAAGTACATATTTTCTGTTGATAGGTGTAGGAAAATAAGGTTGTGCCAAAAATCACATCCCCAAATGATATGAATAAAAGACCCTTCCAAAATTACTCACTTAGAAATGTGTTGTCCAAGCGATACTTCTGAAGCAATTGCTTAGATTTAAAAAAAAAAAAGCTAATTGCATTTTATAAAATTTAACACATTTTAACACTCTAGGCAGGGATACTGCTTACTCATTTTTAAGTTGGTAGTATAATTGTGTAATTATAAAGACAAGAAAAGAAGGAAGGAGGTTTATAAATGTTCATTTGTATAGGAATATAACTGTCCCAAATCAAAAGAGACCTTTGGGCATGTCATATGTGCTGGCAGAGTAAATCTTAATATAACTTACTGTTTGGTGAAATGATGTGTCTCCTGTTTGGTGTAGAAAACATTCTTATTTCCAGAGTAGTGGCATCACTAGATTACTTACAACTATAGCAGATTTTCCACATAAAAATGATAACAGCACTTCTATTTGTATTTGGAATAGTAAGGTGAATTTTGACAATTCAGTCATCTTTCCCCTTTAAAGAATTGTCAGGAGCCTGTATTTGTCTTGAACATCATTTCTGTTCCTTCCTTCCTGTATTAGTTGACTATGTGGTTGTCAAGTAACAAAAACCACTACTGTTGGGTCTTTTGAGCATGATCAGCAAGAGCACAACTGTGTAATTCTAGAGAAAATACCTATAAAAGGTTTATGTGAATAAAGGAGTTACTATCTTCTTGTTATGTTTTGGTTTGGGTGGAAGTAACAGTTAAAATAATTTACTAAATAGTTCATTCTTACTGATTGCAGTGATGGGTGGATCAAGGTGTGTAGTATATTTTTAAAGAAAGTCAGACTTGTCCCAGAGGCTTTGTCTCATTCTCAGTGGCTTTTTTCCCTTTTTGTCTTATACAACTCTCTCTTGCCTTTTTGATGATGACATCAGCTATAAATCTGTGCCCTTAAAGCTTACAAATTTACTTTTCCACATGCAAGTCATCAGCACCAAACTTATATTTGTTTTGAAAGTCGGTGGTGAAAGTGGACATTGTGTAGACATTGAGTTGGATCTTCCCCCAGCTCTAAACCCACACAAAGGCTAGGGAAAACCACACAACCTGGTGATAAAGGAGCAGCTCAGCCCAGGGTCAGAAATGCCACTACTCCCGACAGCAGTGGGATACTTCTCCACTTAATGGAAAAACTAACAGAACATATGAAACCAGAGTTTGCTGTGTAATAGTAAGGCATAGGAACTTTTTCCCTCCACATGCACTCACTTTGTAACCCTTTGTTCTCTTCAGAAATGCCAGACACGAAAGCTGAAGACGAAGTAGATTTTCTTAATAAGATCAGCTCAAGTTCAGGCTCTGAAGAATTGGCTGTGGAGAATGGAGCTGGTGTACCTCAGATGAAACAAGGCCCCAAGACCCAGGTGGTAAGTGCATCAGGAAGCCTGTATGAGGCACAGGTGTGCTCACATTGGTCTCCTTGTCCCATCTATGGTCTTGGCTTTTGTTATGGGGTGGGGGTGTAACAGTAGTTTTATACCCCCTACCCTTGTTCTGTTATAGAAACATGGGGTGTTGCTGCAGTTGAGTCTCATAAGTGGTGTGCACCATGCAGCCACGTTTGGGAATGGGCTGTCATACATGAGTCTTTTGGAGAGTTCATTCAGTGAAAAACATTTTCTCCATAAACATAAGACTTTGAAGTTTTTCATGAGACTTAAAGTGTCACACAATGAGAATGACTGCAAAAGAGGATCTGTAAACCTTCTTAAATCTGACTCATCTTTCTTCACATAGAATTGAGAGTTGTGTAACTGCTACCACGAATATTTTTAACTCAGCATTATCACCACCTCCAAAAGAAACCCCGTACTCACTAGCAGGCCACTCTTCTCTTTCTTCCCTCCCTGTACTTACAGCAGCCGGGCACTAATGTGCCCATTCTGGAACCTCATTTAAGTGGAATTATACACTTTGTGGTCTTTTTGGCTAGCTTTACTTGCTTAGTGTTAGGCGTTACCCATGCTGCAGAATTGATATTAACTTGGTTCTTTTTATTGCCTACTAGTATTCTGTTGTATAGATATACTACATTGTGTGGTGTATTTGAATTGTTTTTGTTTTGAGGCTGCCACAAATGCTGCTTTTGTGAACAAGCTTATGTGGACAGGTTTTCATGGACCTCTTGATGGAATTACTGGGTCATATAGTAATTCAGTAGGTTTTTGAAAATACTTTTCTCCAGTCTTGAGATTATTTTTCTTCTGGCTTAAAGCTATTAGCTTTTCAAAACAAGGGTATTTAAAGTTGTTGTGGAGAAACAGTGTTGTACACTTTACATTTTGTGCTGGTTAAAAAACAAAACAAAACCCAAACCTTTAGAAAGCTGAAAATCAAGTTACTGGACTCATACTTGGTCTTTCTAAGCTAGCCCTGAGAATGCCCTATATTTGCTCTTTGGGGGACTAAGTGGTATTTTTTTCCCCTTAATGTTACTGCAGTAGGTAAACAGAACTGTGCCATCCCAAACTATGTCAAGTGTGTAAATGACAAGCAAGCCTCATTTAACAGGAGTACAGTGCTAACTGCTCTAACCTGCTCCTGTTGCAGATGAAATTCATGACTAATGCCTAGGAGGCTACTCACATAGCAGGCACATAGCAGGTAAATGTTGCTTTTGCCCATCAGAAAGGGAAGAGACAGACTTAACTGATCTTGTAGTTCAAATGCCCTTCCCTTCCATTTTGATATGGCATTGTAGTGATTGAAATTACCTTGCAGTGATTGATGTCATTGAATCTTGTCTCTTACTAGGCTCTAGACCTCTGTTTTCTGACAATGGAGAGTTCTGACCCAATTGTATCTTGCCTACTACAGTAAAGAAGAAAACAAACAATTTTTTTTCTAAGTCCTTTTTTCCTTGGTCCATTTCCTCTTCTCATTTTCCCCATAGTTGTAGGAGTTGAGAGAGAATACTCTTATAGTTGGTCAGTATGTCTCATTCCAGATAAAAGAATAGGACCTGGGAAAATGATGCCAGGAGTGCCAGATCCAGGTGGAAGAAGTTTTAAGGTTTGATTTACAGCCTAGGACTTACTTACCAGGGCTCATTCCTCTCTACCTCTTCACCCTGGGCTCTGTGACTGATACCAGTATTTTAAGGAGCCTTGAATCTGTCTACTTTGTTTCTTGTGGGGACTCTCTGTGCTTCATGCTTTGTGTCTGCTCGCACCTGGTACATTGGGAGAAAGAACATGCCAATAGGATTTTCACTTGTTGCTTATAGTGGAGGTTTTCGTGTTCACAGCATTGTTACAGTGATGTAAAATCTGCCCATGTACCTTTCTTCCTTGCTGCTCCACCCAACTTGCCCTGTTGGCTGTGAGTCAAAAGAATGATGTGTGGACATACACCTTGACTTTTCCCATGTCTTATTTTTTCTCTCTCCAGTTTACTTCTTCATATAACATTTATTCTATAAATTTTTACCCAGTCAGGAGAAAGCAGAGGTCTATAGGAAACTTTTAGACTTTGTCTCTGTCACAAGTAGCCAACTTTGCCTTTACACTGTGAAACAACCATAGACAGTATATAAAGACAATAAGTATGGCCGTACTTCAGTAAAACCTTATTTATGGTCATTGCAATCTTAATTTGATACAATGTTCATGGATGAACTAGGCTGATTTTGAGTTTTTTTCTATGTATTTAAAAAATATAAAATCAGGCTGTGCATGGTTGCTCACTTAGTAGCCAGAGATTAGGAAGATCACTGTTTGTACAAAAAGTTAGCGACACTCTGTCTCCACAAATAAGATGGGCATAGTAGTGCATGTCTATAATTCCAGCTGTGTAGGAAGCCTTGATAGGATCTTGGTAGAGACTATATTCGAAAAATAGCAAAAGCAAAAAGGGCTGGGGGTGTGGCTCAAATGGTAGAGCACTTGCTTGACACGAAGTGGTCAGTTCCCAGTATCACCAAAGAAAGTTGTTCTGTGATGAAAGTTGTTACTAGTAAACAGCATGTTGGCAGTGGAAGTTCCAGTTCTCTCTCCTGAACTAGATTTTTGACTTACCTTCTCTAGAACTCAGTTTCCTAGATTTCACTCATCTTCTTGGCCATAACCTTCTAGAGTCTGTATTTGCATTTGGAAAAGGGCTGATTGACATTGTGATTGTGATTGAGGATTGGAGTGGCCAGTTACTGCTCCGTCGACCTACCCCTTTCCAAATGTAAAACAACAAATGACTGTAGTGCCATTTTGCTACTGACTGAGAAACTAGAACAGTGGAGACTGTGTAATAAGGTTCACATGTTATCACTTAATGGTTGTGATCGTTGTTAGGTCTTGCCAAAATTTTAATAATAGTTACAATTTAATATTCAACTTTATTTCTTTTACATACTATACTGGTTCACAGATTACCTTTTGTTGCCTTCATTTTTCCTTCTTAATGAATTAATGTATATCAAGTGCTTATGACAGAGTTTATCATACATATACCTTACCATTATTATTAAATTTAGTAACTCCAGATTCCCATGTCCTCTTCGCTCATTGAAGTAACAGCTAGAATATGATGGTTCAGACTCAGTTACTGCCTCTTAGACATGCTTTATAAAAGCCTAAGGAATGGCATTGTAACAATAATTTAAGTTGGAAAACATGGAGCTTGCTTTATTTCTGAAACCTTTAAAATTTGAAGGAATCTTAAGTGTTATCTAAGGCCAACACTTATGCTTTAAAGAAGAGAGGGACTCAAGATGGTTAAATACCTTGCCTTGTTTACAGATAGTTAGCTGTTAGCTGAAGTAGTAATGTTTGTGTTATACCGTTGTTTCCCAAGGAATCATTGTGAGGTGCACTTGGGAAGTCTAATTCACTTGATTTAGGATGTGTTTTGCTGTTGAAACAAGTATCTGAGTGCTACATAAGCACTCTGAAGTTTAATCCATTGCATTGTATAAGCCCCATGCTCACAGTCACAGTACAGAAACTTCCGAAGCCACTGTAGCATGTAAGCTGATTTCATTGAAGAGTAAGTCTGTGTTCCTATTATTTCATCTGTTTAAGCTGCAGCTAACACCATGGTGGTGTTCACTTAAGTGGTTGTTTCTGGTGCAGATATTAGTAAGACATTTCCAGACTTGCTTTTTATTTTCTAAAGAATGATATAAAAGAGGGCTGGAAATGTGGCTCAAGTGGTAGAGCACCTACCATATAAGCATGAGGCCCTGAATTCAAACCCCAATACCACCAAAATAAAAAATAAAGATATAAAGAAGTATAGAGCCACACCCTGAATGGGAACCAAGAGGTGACACTGAATTTGTAGATCCAGAGTAGAAAGCTTCTGGGACCATTTACTTTGTAAGTATGTGCTACTGTAAACAGGAAATTTTCAGATTCCTCCTTCCATGCCCCTTGCTGTAAACTAATATCTCCATGAATAATAGGAGTCTTTGCAAGATGTGACCAAGTTTATTAGGAAATAGCTTGCCTCCCTGGAGTATCTGCTCATTGAGGTATGTCTGAAATAATTCCATTTCCAAATGTTCATTGCATAAGCTTATTAGCCATATGGAACAGTTAATCCTGCAAACCAGTGTGTCTTGTCAGGGTGCCCATTGACCTAGCAGCCAAACACTCAAGAGCAAATATATTCAGGGACCACTACAAAATCCCATATGCTGAATATTAGGTTACTGGGAAAGTGAACTCTGCTTTAACACACTCTGAAGAAAGCATTTTCAGTCAGAATCCTGATCTCTTTTTTAGAATTAATTAATTGAATATCCTTATTTCACGTTTGTGTCTTCAAAGTTGTGATCATTGCAGTGTTGAGCGTGGACTGCTTCTTGTTCATATCTTCATCAGTTGTGTCCTTTTATTATTTTTAATGGGGACGCTGTTTTCTTTGTTATCTCAAGGAGGCAAGCTTGCTTTTCCATCCGTAGTCCAGAAGTTTAGTTAAGAGCTCTTCTGTCTCTTGTGACTGTTTGCAGCCTTCACATTCAGCTGAAATAAGAAAACATGACAGCTGCTAGGCTACTTGGGAAAAGCGTACACTAATAGTGAAAATGGCTTCCACAGTTCCACCCTATAAATTTTAGATTTTATGTTTTAAAAAAAGGGGAAGGATAAGAAAGAGTAATTGAGGGAGTGAATTTAATCAAAATATGTTATATGCGTGTACGGAAATAACAGTGAAAACCCTTTGCACAGTTACTGTGCACTATTAAAAAGAAAATGAAGACAATACGGGAAAAATGTTTCCAGTCTTAAAAATATCTTTGCTATAATATCTACACATATAGTTTTGTTCTTTGTGTCAGCTAGGAAAAGGCAAATGGGTCTCTTTCTCAGTGAGTTTCTTCTGCACACATTTGGCATGCCCCCCTTAATTGCTTCTTTTGGATCAGCTG